TCCTGTCTCCCCAGTTCAAACCCAAGCGTGTGGGAGCAGGATTTCCAAAGAAATCCAGCTTGTTCCAGACAGCTTCAGAACTGTTGAAGATCCAGGAGGAGAGTGATGCAAGGCCTGTCAAAAAAGACTGTCCAAGTGGGGAGGACATCAGCAGCTGCAGTCTGGACCTGGACACCAGAAACCCTCTTCTCCAGAGGGAAGAAACTGCAACCAAAGCAGTGGGTGAGAGTGCAGGGGTAGAAGCACACCCAGAAAAGAAGGGGCAGCAACCCAGTCCAGACACAAAAAGTGCCCTTGGGGAGAGCCCTGCTAAGAAGTCCAAACGTAGCAAGAAGCAGCAAATGCTTGCAGAAGCAGCTAAAAAGGAATCACAGGATATTTCCAAATTCTTCTCCCTCCCCAAAGCTGGCTCTAAAGCCCAAAGCTGCAGTGTACCAAAGGGAGAAGGCTGTTCTGCAAGCACACTACCTCAGGTTTCTTCTCAAAGTGTGTGTCAAGAGAAACCAACACCTCAGGAAAATAAAGATGGCTCTGGAGACCTGACTGGGCAGTTCCAGGAGGAGAATAAAGAACTGAGAGAAACAGAATTAACACTGACTCCGAGAGGGGAGAATTCTAAGACCCAGCAGGCTGCTGAATGTGAATTCCTTGAGGAAGAAATGGATGTGAAGTCCAGGTAAAATCTCTATTTCTCTGCTCCTTGTGTTGTCCAGAGCCCCACCAGCCTTCTCCTGGAAACCTGTATGAGGTCTCTGGGTGAGTGAGGGAGACTCTTGCTTTACCCTGCAGTCTCATGGCCACTGACAGTCAATGCAGAAATATTTTCACTGTGGAATGATTACAACTGGCCTTCTCTCCACTCTTCCCACTAGTGTTGCTGAAAATGTTGCAGAAACTGAGCTACCTGTTGTGGGAGAAGGTGACAGTGGGAAGCGGCCGGGATCAGATGAGGTAAGATTTCAATGAATGCTGATTTCCTCTCTTTCTTCTGCTCATCTTGTGCCAGATTTCTCTCTGGAAGTGACACTCCTGCTCTGAGAGTGTCATTTATTTGGGGAAGGCCCAGCTACAGTTGCAGCAGAAAGGAGAGCCCCACTTGTGTTGCATTCCTGGTGTTTCCCTGCTGCCCTCTGGGCTGTGCCAGCACCTTGGGCTTTGTTCCCTCCTCTGAGCAACTCATGTGACTGTGCCCTTGCTGGTGACTTGCCTGGAATTAGTGTCCCCACCCCCTGAGATCTGTCACTAACTATAATTAGGGAGCTGCTTTCTCAAGGCAAGGGCACAACTACAGGCCAGAGACACACAGAACCACTGGGAAGTGACCCCTGCTCACAGCCTGCCTTGCCATTAATTTTCTGCTTTCATTTGGCCCCTGAGACTGCCTGGCAGCTGTCTCTGCAACACTGCAGTCTCCTTTCTCTTTCAAACCGAGCAGGAGTGTGGTTCTCCTGCTGTGGCTGAGGGGTGTATTCTGTTCTCAGCAGACACCCTGAGAAATCTTTTCTAGTCAGTTTTCCTCTGTAGGATAGGGTGTAGCAATTAGCTACCACATGGTAGTTCTAAATGTGGTATTCTTTAAAGGGTTTTTTTCTAAGTCCCTTAGTGTGGGAAGTAGTGTCTGCACAGCAGGTTAAAAGGAGTTACAGAGATTCCTGCTGGGTATTCACTGGAGGCACAGGCTGCAGGATGCTGCAAAGATTTGCGTTCTTGGAAGGTGGTGGCTTCTTGGAAGGACAGTGCTGTCACAGGAATTGGTAGGTTTGGTTTTCTTCTGTCCCCTCTCCAGGATATGGAAAGTCCTGTAAAAAAGCGGCTCCGGACAGCGGCAAAATCTTCAATTCTGACCCAGCCAGAGGGCAAAAGTGTTGGTCCAACAAAGAAGAAGGTGACTTTTGACTCAAACTTAGAACAGTGTGATAAAGAAGGAAGCAGCAGGACCATACAGCCAGTGACCAAAGGCATGTCCCTCAAAGAGACTGCAGACATCGTTGTCAAGTATTTGACCCCGTTCTACAAGGGGGGCAAATTTGCTTCCAAGGTAGAGTATAGCTCAAGGCCCTCTTTAGCAGAAGGAAAATTCATCTCTCTAGGGCCCTGGTGCTCTGAGAAGGCAGAGATGATCTGGATCCCACCTTTTGTTTCCATGTTATGTTTTGATATGCGCTGTTCCAGTGACTCCAGGTACAGCAACTCACCTCTCCCACAAAAGGGTTGGTGTATGTTGGTTCCACACTTCCTTGTGATTGTTCATATTTTCACATTAAACCCTGGCACGTTTTTAACTCCCACCTGTGGAGCAGGAACAGCTCAGGTTTGGTGCTGGTGTAGTTTCCTTGCTGTGCCCTGCAAGGCAGGATGTATGTGCCTGGGCTTCTCCAGCACTGCAGGGCCAGCTGTGTGTGTTCAGTCCAGGAGAGGTTTGTGCTACAGCCAGTCTGTGCTAAGGGTGAGACAAACATGGAAACAGACTGGTGAGGTAACTGGTGTTTGCTTTCTGCTCTTCCCCAATGCTGCAGGATCTCTTCAAGGGCTTTGCCAGGCACCTGTCTCACCTACTGACCCAGGAGCAGAGCCCTGCCCGCAAGACAGGTTTGTCTGGGGTTATTGCAATGCCAGATTGGTTCATGGCTTTAGAGGGGCAGATGTCTTAAATATCAACTCAAAAGATGGCATTTCCTCTCTTGCAGTGAAGGAGGAAGCACAGAGACTCATCAAGGAGTTTTTCAAAACAAGGCTGAGGTGTGAGAGTGAGGCAGACTGGGAGGAGCTGCAGAGCTTGGAGAGCTGATCCCTGCTGCTTGTTGGCTCTTCCTTCCTGCAGCAGCACCACCAGGGGATGTGGAAGAACCCACCCACAGAGGGTCTTATGAGACTGCAGAAATAAGATTTATTTTTCTTTTCCCCACTGCATTTTTGCTCACTTCTGTCCTTAGTGACACACATTCAAGGGAACCAGTTTTTGTGAACTCAAGGTGAGTTTCCCCAATAAGTGGGGTGCTGAAACCCTCAAGGACCAAGAGGTGGGAAGTTGTACCTGCTGGGTTTGTTAGGAGCTGCTGCCTTGGATGTTCTGCACTGTCTCCAACCTGTACTACCTGCAGCAGTCTGGGCAGGGCTCAGACTTTCCAGTTGGAACTCTGCTTTGGGACGGCACCTTGCTTTCTAAATGGCTCCTCCCCTTGCTCCCCCTCTCCCTGTTTCTTATTTCAGTGTCACCAATATGCTGCAAGTTCTCATGCTTTGCTCAGGGCTGCTAGTGACAAACTCAGTGTTTGAGTTCCTGGATGGAATATTTTTGTTTGAAGGGCAGGGGAGGAGCATTTTGTAGTTACCATGGAGGCAGTGCTTGCTTTCTAAAGGAGAAACTCAGATTTTCTTTTAATGTGAACTTCTTTAACTTTGTCCAGTTCTGTCTGCCCTTTAATTTAAGTGGTGATACTCTTTCAGTATTAACCCCTGCAACACTGCCAGCCTTTTCTTGTAATCCCTAAAGCCATATTTGCTCCCTGTGCCTCACCAAAAGTCTGCAGTGCAGGGGGCAGTGCTGCTAATACAGCTGGGTACGGTTCTGCTGTGACCCTCAGACTGACACTGTGGTACCTCTGCTGCTATGTTTATATGGAACCTGATCCTGATTCCCTGGCACAAGTCCTTCCTGTTGGATTTTTGCTGGGTTCTGCCTCTGTTGCATACCTGCAGGGGCTGGTGGCCTCAGGCTCTAGTGCTGCCAGAGGAGCGTGCAGCCTCAGAGGCTGCCCAGGGCTTTGGATCACTGCATTCCACAGATGTATTTTTTTAATTGTTCTGAAGGGTATATGCAGGAGTGACAATAAAGCAAGGTTACAACTGCTGTGGATTGTTCCTGGAAGCTTTTCCTTACAACTCAGTCACACAGACTGGTCAGAGGTACATTAGGCAGCCAGCACTCCAAGAGAAGCACCTGCTAGGGAAGATGCTGTAGTTCCACTGGCATCAGCTCACCAGCAAAAGTCTAATTGTGCATCAGGGCTTGCACTGAGCACCCTCAGATCCATCCCCCTTCCCTGCCAACAATGACATTTTCCACAAGCTCTGCCCATTGCCTGCAGTTAAGTTTTCCCAGGTTAGATGTAACAACTAGCATACACCTTCAGAACATCTCTGATTATTTTATTGCAATTTCCTAAAGGGCAGTTACTCCTCAGGTCATTAGGAGAGCTGTGGCAATAAAAATAAATTAAATATTTTTGTACAACCCAAAACACTTCAGTATAAAACAAGTTCTGTTTGAAGAAGCTTCCTCCATGGGCATGGAGCCATCATTGAAGTCTGACAGCTGCATGGCCATGACTGACTTCTTTATAGTAGAGGAAAGCATATGCATATAATTATGTCAGTGAGAAATTAATTAACAGTAAACTTCCTTACCATTGCAGCTCAATCTGTGCCCCAGCATATGTGTTAATTGTATGATTAACACTGATCAGCTTTTCAGTTAGGATGCTTTCTACAAATTGCTTCACAAATCCTGCTGCAGGATCTCTGCATATCAATTCAGAGACAAATCTGGCTCCTGGAAAAAACCAGCAGCCCCTGCAGGCATTGCACAGCCTCAGCTGGGCAGTGGGATACACAAATCTCTAGCAAGCACCAGGCTTTGCTCATAATAATTAATTCAAAACAGAAAGGAGGAGTTGCATGGTGCAAAGCTTGCAGGCAAGTGCTTGCTTTGGGTCAGCTGCTCTTTGTTGGAACGGGCTGTGGTGTGGAGAGGCCCTTGGGGTTTGTTTAGCCACAGCATGGATTGTTTCAAGGAAGTGCTTGAGGGCTGAATGGCAGGTCACGAGGGTTATGGTCACTCCATCAACAACGCTGTGGTGGCATTCTTAGAAAGCAGCTGGCTGAGGTCTTGGGTGTCTTCTGGAAGAGTTCTCTCCCAAAGACAGGTCAGGGAGCACTGACCAAGTTCAGAGAAAGGGAAACAGTGCTGTTTTCCTTGGCCATTCTCCTCCTTTTAGGCTCTAGGAGTGCAGCTCTGTTTTATCCAGGATGACAACGATCGTGTGGTACAGTTCTTTGGCCTGTCAAAACACAAACCAGCATCAATCACCCTGCCCCGGAAAGAGCTGCTTCTCCTACTTAAATATCCTCATAAATCACTTCCCATAATTAAATATCAGCCATGTGCTGGGACCACACTGCACTTCAGAGCCTGGAAATGCAGTGTCCCCCTCCTCCTTTGGGACACGAGAGAGGAGCAGCACCACTCCTCAGCAGAGGCTCAGCTGGGCAGGGAAGGGCAATTTGGGAGGTGCCAGGAGGAAGCTGCAGGCCCAGGCTGATCTCACCTGTGACAGTTCCAGCCACAGGGCCCTGGGGCTGGCAGGGGAGCCATAGTGGAGCTCCAGGCCGGGAAGGCCCCCGTCGGAGATGGGCCTCAGCGTGCGCATCTTCTGCAGCTCCTTCAGGGGAATGACCCGCAACACCACCTGCCGGGGGGAAAGCCACCAGCCACTCTCAGGAGCAGTCCCCAAACTGAAACCATCTGATTCTCACCACAAGAACCTGTGGAAAGCTGAGGGAAGGCCTGGGGCACAGGGTGGTGCGTGCAGGATACAGCCCTAAAACTCCCACAGGTTTGGAACAAACAGGAATGTGTTCTACATTTAGTTTTGGTGTGGATTGTTCTTGTTAGCATAAACACTGGACTTACAAAAGAGCCCATGACAATAATGCCTGTTGCACACTCCCTTGCTCTGGGCCAGTGCTGTTGTCAGAGTGATGCTTCCAGGGAAGTCCAGCCTCTTCCTTCACAAGTTCTTCTAAAGTCACAGCTCATATCTGACAGACAGCAGGGGGGATTGTCTGGCATACCTGGCTGGTGCCATCCACCACAATGATCTCCTCCTTGTTCACACCAAAGAAACAGGGCACAGGGATTGTGTTATCACTGATTCTCTCCACTATGAAGATGACGTAGTCAAAGAAAGGCAATTTCATCACGTGCTCTAGAAGAGAGCAAAAAGTGGCCTGAGGGCAGCAGCTTTCAGCCAACAATTTACTGCACCAGCCTGGGGTGGTAAAAGTTGCCAGTGTTCCCAAGATTTTCTACATTAAAAAGTAACGTTGACAACTTCTGCCTCCCTCCCTGGCTTCTGAGACTCAATTCTCAGCGGCCTGAGTGGATGTCCTGTCCTTTTCTGGACAGGACATCCACTGGAAAACAGACATGCAGCCAGAATATCAATTAAAACACCGCTTGTACAGAGCTCTGAAAGTCCACTGCAGACTCCTACAAGAGATGGAACTTCTACCACCATCACCATGCTTGGGAACAAGACCTAATCCACAGTGAGGAGCTGTCAGGGAATTCCATTCTCATGGCTCATTCCAGGCTCCAAGAACCATCAACAACCTCATGAATTGTCCCAAAAGTACATTCAGAGCAGCTTCCAGAAGCTGAAACAGCATAGAAACTGAAGGAGATCTGGATGTCTCCTCACCTATGAACTGGATTTTTGCATCCCGTGGCTGGAGGGGCTGCCTCTTTCTCAGCAGTGTGGCCACGTGGTTGTGCAGAGCCTTGAGGCTGATGGAGGACTGCAGGCTCTTTGGAGTGTATTCCTTCAGCTCTTCCCTGTGCCAAAAACAGATTCTAATTCACCCCCTGCCCAGCTAAAATCAAACATCAGCCAGGGGATTAAGAGGAAGGAGGGGATGGGACAACAATTTTCCACTGTGTATCTGGGAACAAGAGTGAAGGGGGAGAGGAAGAGCACAACAGGTGATGCCTGAGTTGGGTAAGGTGGAAGGAACCATCAGAGACAGTGAGACCACCCTTGTCCACAGGGAATTCAGCTGTGCACCACTGACCAGTGCATGGAGAGAAATCCCTCCTTTCTGGAGACAGCAAGAGCTCCTCAGTGCCCAGCAGGGTTGTGCCATTTCCCTGGTGCTTTAAGGGGATCTGATGGAGGCATTACCTCAACTCCAAGTCAAAGTGCATAAGGAAAGGAAGGAGTGGCAAAGTACAGCTTGGAACTGCAGGACTGAAGGCTTCCAGTATCCAGGGACAATTTTGTTCCCATTGGGCATCTCACTACAGATTTCAGGTGTCCAGGGTTGCAACCTCTGACACTTGTGAGAGAGAACAAAGGAGGATTCACCCAAACCATGAGCTCATGCCCTTCCTTCTTGGCGTCACAAATGGCAATCAAATGACATTACCGTGGCACTCTCATGACCCTCTGTATTCTCCAGAATTGGACATTTCTTAATTATTCAAAGAGGACTTCCAGGTACCTGCCCCTAACCCCTGTGGTGCCTATGGCCATCACAGAGAGATCCCCTCTGCCACAGACATACCTGGAGGGAGCAGAGTTCTGCTGCTCCACTTTGGCCCAGTGCTGGAACATTGCCAAAAGGCCCACCTGCATCTCCATTTCTTTATTGTGGTTCAGCAGGATCCTCCCATTCAGGTAATCCCACACCACCTGAGGGACAGCACAGCAAAGAGGCCTTTGTTAAAGCTGCCAGAGGGTACAGGCAAGCCTGGGCAGTGCCAGGCTGCACAGACCCACATCCTGCCTTGCTGATAATGCAAAACAAAGGCTCTCTGAGCTCAGGAAGAGCCTGGGGAACTGCACAATGTGTGGAACAGCACTGCTCCAGGCTAAGGCCACAGGCACAGGGCCTTCCTGGCATCCACAGCTTCAGTGTTCAGTCACTCCCAGAAACAGCACACAAAGCCTATCAGCCCACCTGCTTTTTCAGGCCCCTTGGGACATTTCTGTTGGCTGGGACACCACATCTGTCCCTGCTAGGGAGGGTCTTGCTCTTGCTTACCTGTCCATAATGGACATCTGTGTAAACTTGGTTGTCAAAGTGCAGAGGTGTCCTCCAGATGAGCCTGCGTAAGGTCACAGTGACCAGCTTGTCCTCCAGCAGGTAATCATGGAGATACTCCTCCAGTTTTATTGGCCTCACCATTTTACCTACATGACACAGAGAGAGGGTATCCATCCTTCTTGGTGGAGAGGCTGGGACTGGAGCCTTCCTGCCCACCTCAGTTCCACCCTGCCCTGAGACTCCAACCATCAGCCATTGCAAAGGGACACAGAACCCCACACCTCTTCCAGGAACAAGCAACACAGCCCCTGAGAAGGATCAATCCTTAAGCCTAATACAGAGGGAAACTACCTAGGAGGCAGCAAGGGTAGAGGAACTATTCCAAGCAGGAGCTGTGATGCTCCCTTTGCAGAGGCTGCTGGAAGAGAGAAGCTCCATGCTGGTCTCTACTTGCCGAGATTTTTGTCGTCATTCCTGATAGCAAAGAGAACAAAGTCCTGTGTTTCTTGCTGTTCACCTATTCCCATCTGCTCACAGATCTCCTGCAGGAGCTCCTTGGCCACCTGAAATAAGGAAAGAAGGAAATTAATACCCTGACCAGGCAAGCCCAAGAGCAGGCAGACACATTATTCCTTCTCAGATAAGGGATTTCCCTGGTGTGGCTCAGAGTCCAGACCAATGAAGGAATTCACAGCTGGAAACTCACAGTGAATGTCCTGATCCTGGTGAGGTACTCCATGCCTCCAGGCATCAGCACAACCAGCCGGCGGGCACCGTGTCCCTTCTGAAAGGACAAAGTTCAGGCAGCAAGACATGCAGGGTCCCATCAGCCCCAGGCGTTTGTCCCTCTCCTTCCTCATCCCTGCTGCCACTGCTTGCCCACAGCACGTGCCTCTTCCCTGCCCACTCCATGGCACGGCACTTCCCAAGCTCCCTCCATGCACACGCTCCATTTCCTCTCCTGAAACACCAACTGCCCCTGTCACACTGCACGTGGCACCTCCAAAGCCTCCTCTGTGTCCCCCTTCCAGCACCCACCCCACCTCCCTGCCCCTCCATACCAGCAGTGCCTCCATCTCCACAGGGAAGGGCAGGTGCCGACGGCCCCCGTACAGGAAGTTTTTGCGCAGGTTGCTCTGGCAGATCTTGGCTATATCTGCAGGAAGAGGAAAAAGCTCCATGTGCTGAGCCAAACAAAGAACTAAACACAGTGTCCTGTGGTGTTGGGGCATCCTGGCTGGGTTGAGTTTATCCCTTGTCTTAGGTTGCAAGATGTGGCTGGCTGTGTGTATTCCATTCCTATCTGTTAGAGCTGGGGCAGTTCTCTGCTGTTCATTGGGCAGCTTTTCTCTTTTTCTCTCCCACAGCCAATCCTCCCTCCAGCAGATCTCTGCTGTCCATGGCCAGAGAGTGTCCCTGCAGGGCTGATCAAATTCCAGCATCCCATGGGGAGATGCTCTGCCCAGGGCAGGAGCCAAGCATTCCTGCCTGGATACAATCTGAGCCTGGGACAGCACAGCAGCCTTTGCCCACTGCATTCCCAGAGGAGCAGCTTTCTCCTGCCCTGCATTCCCAGAGGAAGAGCAGGCCCATCTCCAGCAGCCCTGGAGCTTCAGAGGAAAACTGCAGCCTTGTGCAGGATCCCTGCTCCAGCAGAAGCACAGCTGGCCCTGCAGGAGGGCTGAGCCCCCATGGGATGGGACTGTGCCACCACCCTGACCCACAGGGCTCAGCTCCTGCTCTGACTCTGGCAGTGTTGTTTTGTATTACTGCATTTTTATTTTTAGTTTCCTAGTAAAGAGCTATTATTCCTATTCACATATCTTTGCGTGGGAGCCCCTTAATTTCAAAATTATAATAATTCAGAGGGAGGGGGCTTACATTTTCCATTTCAAGGGAGGCTCCTGCCTTCCTTAGCAGACACCTGTCTGTTCAAACCAATACACCCCTGGTCACTGCTAGGGGAGCAAAGAGCCTTGACCTCACCTCCCACCCTGCCAGGACACATCCAAACATAACAGTGTCCAGGACAGAGGAATGACAGGATAGGGAGATTAGATCTGGAATATTTGCTTTACAGGACACAAGCAGTCTTACCGTGGTGGGTGCTGGATGGATCACTGCTGGCCAGCTGCAGGAACTTGGTGGCATAGGGCATCAGGATTTTGGAAGGCAGGAAGTATCCAGTGAGCAAGTTTAAGAGCAGCCAGCCCCGCAGCTCACTCCCCCTGCGGATCAGAAAGGATTGTGGGCACCTTGGGACAAGACAATTCCTGCTCTGAGCAGCTCAAAGTGAGCTTGTGCTCTTCTGAACACCTCTGGCAGCTGGCAGAAAAGGAGGTGTCAGCCCTTGGTCAGAGGTTTCTTGTGCTGAGTAAGAGATTGATTCAGTTATTCCAACAGCCAGCAAAGAAAAGGAACAATAAAGGCACAGCACTGCTGCCACCTCCCAGGGCAGCATGGGGCCAAGCCAGTCCTTGACTGGTGTTTATCAATTCCTAAGGCTGGGAGGAGGAAATCAGGGCCCTGAGCAGCACCACAAGCAGGAGCCACCAGGAATGTTTACTGTGCCCGGATAGATCAGCAGCCAGAAATATAAGGAAAAATATCCACTAAAGTGAAAATGCCAGACCCAGGGACTGGCAAAATTTCCAGAGTGCTCAGTAGGAGCTTCAGCACTGGAGCAGCTGGGGACAACCCATCCTGAGGGGACACCCTCCCCCCTGGCCCTGGTGTCCCTGCAGCACATGGTTCCTCTCCAGCTGTGCACACACAGGAGCTGGCAGTGCTGGTACTCACTGCTGAGGGTTGTGGGTGACCTGTTTGATGACCTGGCAGTAGATCTCATCGTGTAAATTCTCCTTCTCCTTGCACAGCTGCATCCAGAGAGGAGAAAACAGCATCAGAGAGGGGATGAGAGCATCAGAGACATCTGTAGGTCGTCTCTGTGCCCTACCTCTCCCAGCCTCAGAGCTCTGCAAGTTTGGCTTAAAGTTTGGGCTTTGCAGCCTCTGGTCTCTAGTGCTATTAGGATCAAAGGAGGAGAGAGCAGAGGCAGGTTGTGCTCTCATCCAGACAGTGATATCCAGGGAAACCATTTACATGCACACCCTCCCCACAGTCTGTTTCACGTCCCTTCCTCATGTAGGAGGTGACATTATGGCTCTCCCTGCTCTTTTCCTTTCCAGCAAGGTCTTGGCCCTCCATTCCCATTGGTGCTTCTGCACTTTGCCCAGGGGAAGCTCACAAACCTGAAGAATTTCATAGATGCATTGGACCTCAGTCTGGTGCTTGTGTTTTGGCTGATCTCCCATGAACCTCATCAGTGCTGCAAGGCAAAGCCTGGCCTTTAGTCTGAGCTGGGGTGGCTCTGCCATGGGGCTGGCAGTGGGCAAACAAATGTCCTGAAAACTTCTCTGCTGTTACAAGGCTTGCACTGGACATGTGGAGGCAGCCCAAAGCCCAGGCAGAGTGTTCTGGGACACTTGGCACTCAAGGCAAAATCCCTTTTTGCTGGAAGCTCTCAGCAAGCACACAGGGGATTATGAACTGCAGAAATGCCTTAGAAGGGGCCCTCCTCACCCAGTTTCCACTCCCACTGAGCCCCACAATGTCTGTGCATGCCCACCCTGGCCACCCCACTCCCCCCTCTGCAGTGCTGTGTCCCAGGAAGATCCTTACTCCGGAAGTTCTTTGTGGCCAGCTCGTTCAGCTCACTGTCAGAGTACCGGAGCAAAGACGCCTGGATTGGGACCTGCAGGGCCAGAGCAGAGGGATAACCCAGGGCTGTGGGTCACACAGAGCTGTGCTCTGCAGGCTGCACCAGACACTTGAGCTGCCAGGATTCAGCACCAAAGAGTAGGGGACACCTAAACTTGTCCAGAGACTGCAGCCAAGGGTCTGTTCCTTGGCCATGTGGGGACAAAGCCAGAGGCAGTGCTGGAGCTGGGATTCTGGCTGTGGCCAGGGGCAGAGGCTGAGCTCACCTTGGTGTGCCGCACCAGCTCAGCCACATTCTTCTTCTCAGCAGACATCCCCTTCAGGCCCTGCCTAGACAGAGGAGAGGGAACATGCAGTCCAAGAAATAGCCCCAGAAACAGCCTGGGGTGGGTCAGGCTACCCAGGTCCTGTTTGGGAAGGAGCACAGGCTACTCACATGGACTGAGCCTCTCGGAAGTAGGTGGTGGCAAAGTCAATCATGGTGTAATGGTCACCAGCAGGGACTAACATGGTGCTGGTGGCTTCTGGTGTCAGGCTGAGAACAGAACTCTGCAGGAACACCACCAAACCCACCCTAAAACATCAGCTGAGGAACTGCAGTGTGTATTCTCAGCTGCCAGGCCTCATCTGTGTGTGGTGCCTCCCCTCCAACACGGTGATGGATTTGAGTGCCTCATCTGCAAAGACTAAGCACTCATCCTCTTCCCTCTGCCCTCAGAGGTCAGACACCCCCAGAGCCATGGATCCACCCTGGCAGCTCCTGCTGAACCCAGCCATGTCCCCTCGGTGTCCCTCCCCAAGGACTGCTCACCTCCCTGCTGGTGTTCCTGCTGTCTGGGCGAGCTCTCGTGCTCTTCCTCTGCTCTCCCCGTCTGTCCATGCTGCTGCTGAGGTAGTCAATGGCAGGAGCCAGCTGCACCAGGCTGGTGGGGAAGAGACCACAGCGGCCACCAGTGGAGCCAAACTGCCACCCTGGAAAAGGAACAGAGAAAGGGTCAGGAACCAGGGCAGCTGCCAAGAGAAACGAGCACTGAAGCTCAGAATATATATAACATATATTCCTATAACTGAGGCAACTGGGACAAGGCTTGTCTGGCAGAGCTGGAGGCTGATGATGCCAGCCCACCCTGTATTCCTCTGGTTTTGGGCACCGTGGGTCCAGCAGACCTTTGATCCTGGTCCTGCCAATCCCAGCACACCCCCTCACCTGGCTCCACGCCCTGCACGGGCAGCAGCTCGATGAGGTCACCCTTCTTGAAGCTGAGCATGCTCTTGTCATCCACGATGTAGCTGCGCAGAGCCACGACGTAGTTGGTGTCCTGGGGAAAGGCCGTGGCCAGGTCAGATCTCATCCCAGGGATGTGAAGGGCTTGGACCGTGGCATCCCATGGGCACTCTCAGTTTCATCTGGGACTACTGCACTCCAGCTGCTGCCTCACCTGCCTCAGCTCCTGCATGAAGAGTTCCACCATGGCCTTGATGCACGGAGCCTTCGGAGAGTGCAGGATGAGCTGCTCGGTCTTCAGGGAGAACTCCAGGGAATTGCTGCCTTTCATCTCCACTGCCAGTACATCTGCAAAGCTGGGAACACAAGTCAGCATGCTCAGGCTCCTTCTGCCAGAGGTTGGGATGCAGAACATAGGGATGGCAGCCCATTCCAAGGACTGGGAATGGAGACATGCCTCAACATTCTCCATGTTGGCCTTCCTCCAGCTGCTCATGGCTTTCACCCTGAGGAGCTCCCTGTGGTGGCACACGGAGCTGATTCACTCCCAGCCCTCACTTGTTGTAAGCAAAGCTCAAGGTAGGAAGGAAAAGGAGAAGCCAGACTCATTAAAAGGAGGGTCAGTGAATCACAGGTGCCTAGGATAATCCTAGAGAGCACAGCACAGCTCGGAATTTTCAGCTCCCCCTTTCAGATTGCCTCCAGCACCCTGCCAGACACAAACTGTCCTCCTGCAGCAGCCAGGGCCCCTTTGCTCACCAGTAGCTGCATAGGATCTTGAGGTGCTCAGGACGGTATCCAGCTGCTTTCTCCACCTTCAGCAGCCTCATGCCCCGGTGAGAAACACCCAGGAGCTGCACATCACTTCCCTTTTCACCCTGTAAGGGAAGTGCAGCACAGAGAATCGAAGGCTCCATCCCACCTGCACAGGTGGCAGCAGGGAAAGGAGATGCCACACAAGAGGTGTGAAACTCTGCAAAGTATGGAAGGTACAGAATCACTGCAGTGTGGCCAGGCAGGGGGACAGAAGGAATGAACTGGAGCCACAACTAAAGCAAGCCCAGGGTATGGTGAGAGAATTAAGGCTCACCTGAACTGGGAAAAGGCGGGAGAAATAGTTGGCCCAGTTGTCCCGAGCAGCCACTACAATCCTCTTCTTGATCCCCTCCTCCTGAATGGACTGGGCATTGTTGCCAACTCGGAACTCCACTAGCAGGGTGACAAAACAGTTACTTGCTTAGAAAGACCAAGGTGGCCAAGTCTCCCTCTTCCCAGGGATTCATTCCCAGCAGTCCCTCTGTGTTCACAGCACAGCAAACCACACACACAGGGGAAAGGACACTTGCACATGCCAGTCTACTACTGGTTTCCATCCCTCTCTCCATGAAGATCATATTAGAGATGACACTTGGAAGTTGAAACAAATCAAAATCCTATCCATGGGCTTCAGTTTCCTCTCCCCACAATAAACATTTCAGAACTAAGTTTTTCTACTCACAGAAATTTCAGGGCCATTTGGAATAAACAAGCATTCCTACACTGCACTCTACAAATGTGCTTTCCTGCTGCAGTGACAAACATTTCTCCTCTGCCCTGAGTACTGACTGAAAGGGTTGGAGGCCAGTTTTTCATTTCAGAGCAGAAGCTGGGATGGGCACAGAGGGGAAGGGGTGATGGGGCTGTTAATTACTCAGCAGGTCTTTCATCTTGCGCTTCTCCTCCCTGGAGATCCGAAAGCTGGACTCAGAAAAGGTGTCACGGATGATCTGCAGAGGAAGGGAACAGACAGGCTTCCATTGCAAGGGCCACACCTGGCTGTGTTGGAGCATCTGAGGCTGTTAAACTGAGTCTCAGAGAGGAGTGAACAGGGACTGGATGGATCTGGGGAAGAGACTTGCACTGCTGGGGATGGAGAAGCGAAGGTAACTCATGCAATGTAATTATGCAGTGTTTTGTCCCCAGAGAGACAACTGGCCTTGAGCCACACTCCAGTGCTTACCTGCTCACACAGCAAGTTCAGACAATAAGGGTGGCTGAAATTTTCTTTGGGGTAAAACACCTGCAAGAGGAGGGCAATAGTGGTGTTACAGATATTGCAGAAGTAGCTCCCCAGGGATGTTTTGCAATCCACATGCCATGTTGCCAGGGAGGAGTGAGTTCATCTCCAGGCACAGGCAGGGTGGAGACACTGTGAGTGTAAACAGAAGGACCAGGAGTGAAAGACCAAAACCTGAGTGGTCAGACCAAGGAAGGAACCCTGGTGAGTTTAGCACACTCTCCAATACTTGATTTTAAACACATTTGTACTATTTTAACAGGAAAGCACCAGGCAACGACAAATTCAGTTCTAGATTTCTCAGTGGTCTACAGAGGGAGGAAAGGGCAGGTAGAGAAACTGAGACACAAGTGTCAGTAAGGCAGAGCATCACCCAGATTCCCCGTGACATGATCCCCTGCCCCCAACTCCTGGGTCTGTGCTCCCAAAGTTATCTTTGTGCTCTTATCTTACATTGAGTGCCTATGACCAAAAAAACCCATTTTAACCAAAGATGGGATGAGCTCCCCCCCAGCCAACCCTCAGCTAAGGAACTGAACCTCTTTGCGCAGAAAAATTTTCCAGGCAGGGTCGACATAGGAAAAGCTGACACTGGTGGTGAGCTTGTACAGCTGGGTCTTGATTCCATCATCACCTGCCACTATCACAGCAGAGTCTGCATGGGGAGAAAAAGCAGTGAAGATGGGCTCTGAGGGTTACAAGGTCCTTTCCACCCATCAAAGATCTGCCAGGAGAAAGGGGACAGTTCCTGACAGGGAATCTCCTGACCGGAATCTCCTGACCAGCTCATGTGAGCACAAACCAGTCATTCCCAGAATTTCTGGTAGCATTTACACTTCCACTGTCTAGCCACAAAGTTCATTGCTAAGAACAGAAACACTCTAGGCATGGGGAGCACGGAGCCTCCCACACAAAACACTCTCCCGGTGCTTTAGTTGGAGACAGGTTTCATTTTGTGTCACTCTGTCATTATAAACAGGCTGCTAAAGATTTCAGAGGGACATAAAAGTTCTCCCCTGAGCTTGGAGGCTGCAAGGTTCTGGTTCAGGACACCCAAAACTAGCACCAGACTCTCTCTCTGCAGATGTATTAAAGACAGGCTCAGTCTGAAGGCAGCTGCTCAAAGTTCCTAATTTATGAGGTAAGAATGTCTTCATTTAAGCACTTCAAAACTTCAGAGTTCATAGGCAAATAATGTAGTAATTTCCATACTTCAGCTGTTTCTATAGCCCTATTCCAAAGCATGAAGGAATTTTTCAGGCTAATCCAGTTACTTTGATTTACTTTCACAGGACTTCCCAAAGAATAATATTTTAAGAGAGGAGGAGCTAACAAGGAAATTCTTTTATAGCAGGAAAGTTGCTGCAGGATGGAGTCCTTCAGTAATGTCTTTGACTGATTGTTCCTTGCAGGTTATGGAACGTGATGATGAGAATTTTAAACAGCTAGAAATACATTGGTACAGGTATCCAATGCATAAAATGAATTCAGGCTCACACTGAAATTCAGAGGCAAAACTAAGACTGAATAACACTTCCAAACTACTGCTGGTAAGCATTTGCTCTACTTTTTTAAAATGGGCAGCATCCAAACACTCTTTATGTGTCCAAGGTCTCCCAGGCTCAGCCTCCCTCTGAGAAACATTCCCTATCCCTCAGCCTGTCTCCAAGATCCCTCCAGAGGTTTGTAAGGTAAAAGACCTTGCTTCCCATTGCTCCCTGGTCTAAAGTCCATCCACTAATTGCCACTTAGATAATAATGCTGCAGGTAAACAATAAAAGTATTGTGGGCTGGACCTTGATAAAGCCGTAGCCCAAAGGACGTTTCTATTTTTAGCTGCATTTTTCAGAAGGGAAGAGTTAAGATCTGGGAAGTGCCACGCTGGTTTCTGGGCCAGGCTGGAACTGTGACATCTCTGATTGCTCACAGGTGAGATTGCACCATCTCCCTGGTCTCACACAGTCACTCAGTCCCTGGCACTGCCTAATGCCAGGATCTGTGCCATGACTCTCCTGAGCTGATTCCAGCCCCATCCCTTCCCTGCCCTGCTACCAAATCCCACATGGGTGAAACCAATACTCACCCTTCCCTGTGGGCTCCTGCCTGCCTTGGTCCTCAGGCGTTGGTGGGGGAAGAGGGGGAGCAGGAGGGGCCTGGGCAGCTGGTGGGGCACCCTCTGGTTTGAAGATGGACAGGAGAGGCAGCTGCTTTTCCTTGATAGAGCTGGAAGCTGGGCCTGGCTTGGGCTTGACAGGTGGAGGTGCTTTCTTCTCCTGTGGCACAGGAGATGGCTACAAGACAACAAAACCATTTGAGCCAGTCTTTCCCTGGGTTCTGTCCTGACACTGCTGTTCTAAATCATCCTGGGGCAGCAGCCCACCCCTGGAGCAAGATCTGTGTGAACAGCCCACCACTGCCTTTAGATCAACCCAACCCAGACAAAGAGGTGATCAACCCAACCCAGACGACTAAGCATTTGGCATCAAAGCCTCCAGTTTGGAAAGGAAAAAAGGATGTTAACAAGCCAAAGCTTTGGTGCCAAACATGGAGAACATGAGTTGCTTGCTTCCAGATCAGACTTTAGCATCTGACAATAGGACTTGCTGCTCCAAAGCCTTTTCTTCAGGACCTCAGATGACTTTACACACTGGAACCAGTCTAGGGTGGGCAGGACCATGGTGTGAGCTCCCAGCTCACAACCCAACCAGAAATCACCTGGCTGCTACTGCAGCACCAGGGAGATCCCAACCTGCTGGATATGGGATGGACAGGCTCTCTCTGCTGAGCTCCTGAAGTAACCAGAGAGCAAAGAACTCACTGATCGCTGAGGTGAGGGGTTCATCATTCCCAGCTTGGCCAGAGCTTCATTTTTGGGGTCATTCTTCTTTAAAAATGGCTTGGATACTCTCCTGCAAGGGAACATGGAACAGCGTTATGTGGTTTGGGCACAATGGAGCCACTGGCAGAGCCGAGATAGAGAACCCCCATGTCCCTCCTGCCCACAGGGGGGATCCCACACTCTCACCTGGCGGGCTGGACGGGCTGGGGCTCGGGGGCTGGTCTGCTCTGGTACATTTTGATGATGTTCCCGATCTCGCGGCTGGGTGCAGGACGCTTCTCGGGGCCTGAAGGCTTCACTACAGGCGGCTCCTTCTTTGGTTTTGGTGTTTCCTTTTTTGGCTTTGGCTCAGGAGGTGGCAGAGGGGAGGCAGGAGCTATTGAGTTTTAATCAACAGACCAACAAAGACACAAGAGAAATCCCTTTATCTCACTTGACTTTCCCTTTCTTTCCCTCTGATGCCGACTGGCAATGGCCCGACATTCCTCTTTCCTCTCCCATCAAGATGCAGACTCCCAAAAGAGCCAGATCCTTTCCTCCTCTGCCTAAATCTTGGCCTAATGTTCCTAGAAAGGTCTTCCTTGTCAACCTGCTGGAGTGTCCACTGCACAACATCTTACCTGGCTCTGGTTTAGGGACAGGCTTCTCTTCTTTCCTCTTCTCCAGCTCCTCTTCTTTCCTTTTCTGCAGCTCCTCTTTTTTCCTCTTCTCCAGCTCTTCTTTTTTCCTCTTCTCCAGCTCCTCTCTTTTCTCCTCCTCCTCCTCTGTTGGCTGGGGTTTTGCTGGAGGAGTCCAAGTTTTGCTAGGTCTGACTTTCTTCACTCGAATGCGCTGCTCTCCTGCATAGAAAGGGGAACTTGAGCTAGTCTAAGCCACACCAAAACCTGGCACAGATGGCACAGCTCTCACTCTTGCCTCAGTCAGCAAAAACTTCTTTTCTAGAGTGAGGGAGGATGTGGCAGTCACATGCCCAGAGATTTCTAGAAAACTGGCCCCAGTACAGCTCACAATCTGAATTGCAAGAACCCCAAACTCCTGTACACACATCACCAGCAGCTCCTGCAGGGATTAGCTGGATTCCAGACAGGGAGACAAGAACAGCTGGGCATGCCAGGAAGGCTGCAGAGCAAGGTGTTGTGATGAGTGAAATTCCCAAAGTGGCAGACACTCACCCATCTTCTGGAAGTACTCTTTCTTCTGCTGGAAGGTTTCCCGAGGACAGTCATCATCCTCACTGCTGGAGAACTCCTCTTCCACGTAGTCATAATCCTGCAGACAGTGCACTACTTGTTTAAGTTAGTACCAGCCAGCAGTACCTCTGCAGTCTCCTTCAGCTCAGGAGCGATTTTGTCTCAATCTGATCTAGAACCTGTCCACATCCAGGAGTGGCCCAATAGGTCAATTTCTAACACAAGGAACCCTCAGCCAAGCACAGAGAAGGGGGATTATGTTAGAGGCCCAACACAGCTTGCTGGAAGATAAAGAACTCAGAGTAATTAATTCTTCTGTGGAAAAATTCAGCTTCACTGGAAATGAATTGGCCAACCCTGCAGCCAAACCTCCACAGAGCAAAAGCCACTGAGGTTTGATCCTTAAAGACTGAGCAAGCAGAATTTGAAAGGCCTCAGTACCATCAGGAAGCACAAATCTCTGCTCTCCTCTGCCACACACGGATGGATGCAGAGCAAACACCAAACACGAAATTCAAACCAAATCCACCCCTGCTTGTTTCTCATACCGGCTCTTTTGCCTTGGCTGGTGGCTCTGGAGACCTTGATGGTGTTGCAGCAGCCTGGCTGCTGGAAGGCTTCTTGGGTTTTGGGAGAGTGGCTGGGGCTGAGGCTTGTGCTGGGCTGGAGACTCTTTGCCTTGAGTTCTCAAGGGCCTTTTGCTGCTTTTGCAGCTCCTGCTGCTGCTGCTGCTGGGAAATGCTCATGGCTTGAAGGGTCATCTGCTGGGCCTGGGGAAGGAATTGCAATGTCCATGAGCTCTAGGCTACACAAACCCAGCCAAGAGTCACAGCCTGTCCTGTTTTTTCACTGTTAATCAATCCCAAAACATCCACATAGTGCATGGTGTGGACAAGGCATGCCTAGGGAGTCTTCTCCCACCTGAGTCACAGCCTGTCCTGTTTTTTCACTGTTAATCAGTCCCAAAACATCCACATAGTGCATGGCAAATTTCACAGTGTGTGGACAAGGCATGCCCAGGGAGTCTTCTCCCACCTGGCCAAGGATGCAGAGCTCCTAACACCCCCCAAAGGCTCAGCTGCCAGCCTGGGACTGCCATGCACTCACAGAGCTTTGCACAGAAAGCAGAACACTGCAGACCTGTATTTGTAGCAAATCCCAGCTTAAAACCCCATGGGATCTACAGCTGAATCTTCTCAGAGCCTGCTCCTGTCTCTGCTCTTCACTCACTGATGATGCCTCAGTGTCCCCATGGACACAAAGGGGCAAAAAGAGGGTTCTCAGTTTTCCAGTCTTAAATAATGCCCACTTTATAGTGGGGATTAAAATAGAGTTCACCCCAGCACGTGAGCAGAGAATGACACAGAGCAGGCCCAAACAGGAGGAGAGCTGGGCTCCCCCTCCAAGGCACACACACCAACGTGTGGCTCTTCCCCAGTTCCTGGGGCCCTTCCACTCACCATGAGCATGGCCTGCTGGTTGATAAAGGCTTGCTGCTGTGCTGCCAGCTGGCTGGGATCTACAGCTGGAACCATGGGCTGGGGCATCACCATGGCTGTGGAAGACAACACACACATCTTCAAAATCCTAGAGGTGAACATTCCCCACTGAGCCCCTCACCTGACACTGAAATGCACAGGCTTCACTGACAGCCCCCTTCCACCCCCTGCCCTCTGCAGTTTCAGAAACGCTGCTATTACCTGGCATAGGCGCAACCCCACCAACAACCTGACACTGAAATGCACAGGCTTCACTGACAGCCCCCTTCCACCCCCTGCAGTTTCAGAAACTGCTATTACCTGGCATAGGTGCAACCCCACCAACCCCTGGCATCATGGGCATGGCTGCTGGCATCCCCATCATGGAGGGCATGGGCTGGTAAACTGGTGCTTGAGTCATTCCAGACAAGCCTAGAGGCAAAAGACCAAGTGCACAGTGCTTTGGAGAATCCCAAATGAGGATATCCTGAGCAGCCCCAGAGAGCACTTCTGGTGCTCTCCACATGCACCAACCACAGCAGGACACAGCAAAACTCAGGTGGAAAAAGGAAAACTAAGAAAAATGTGTGGCCTGCCAGATTTTAAACAGAAGTATCCAGACTCTGTTTCTGCAGCCTAGCTTTGGACACCACCATTCCTCATGATTAAGCTTGTAAATAATTCCTGCCTGTGTATGATTACAGAGGTTTTCTCTTGGGGACTGGACAAAGATCTCTGGGGCTGGGACTGTCACATTGGTGTGTTTGCAGTGGGTGGCAAGGCTGGATGAACAAGGAGCCCTGGCCTGGATGGCATTGTGTGTCATGGGGAGGAGCTGTGGGGAGAAAGGAATTCCTCTGCTCCCAGCAGTCAAGTCCCATATGGGGTCACAAACAAACCCCACTGAGTGTGAAGCCAGCAGAGCAAAGGGTGTGGGAGTCAGACTCAGCTGAGGAGTCAGCACACAGCACAAATCTACTGAATCATTATGTCCTCACCAGTGAGAATGGCCCTGGGATGACCATCATACACCTCATTCATCCAAGAAGCCACGCAAGTGACAAACTGGCCTCAGGCCAGTGATCTGTAACAGGGCTTGTCATGCTCCAGAGCCTCTCCAATAGCCAGTAGTCCCTGTCTCAGGAATGACTGAACTGGACATTCCCCACCTTTCTGAGACTGCTGGGTGTGTTCCTACCCATGCAAATTCAGATTTGTCAGTGCCGTTAATAGATTGGTGTTTGACTCCACCCTGCTGCAAATGCCAGAGTCTCAGCTCCACAGAAATGAGGAAAAGCAAAGAAACCAAACACACAAAGCAGAACCTCTTCAGGGTTCAGAGTTACTAAACCAAGGAATAGCTACAGATTATGGGAAATTCTGTAAGGAAGTAAAAAAGATTAAAACCGCCCCTGATAAAGGCACCAACTGTTCTGTGAAAGCGTAGGGTCAATAGCAGGTGAATACATGGCTTACAAATATTTGTCTATGGAAGAGGTGGCCTGGGTCAGAAGCAAGCTACCTGCTGCCTTGACCCCAAGGCCAGCTCGAAAGAGAAACTACAAGCACAACAAAGCAATTCCCTTATCTAACACCTCTGCAAGGCATCTGTCTCACCTGGGAGTGAGGAGTGCAGCCTGTGCTAAAGCCCAGTGCTCTGCATGAACCAGCTGAACACGCAATAATTAGCATTTAAGGGGCTCCCTGACTTGTGCTCACTGAAGGTCATGTAGTCCCAGGTGTCCCCATGCCCTTACAGACCTGTAGAAGGAAAGATTCCTCTCTGTGTGGGGCCGATCTTCCCACCTCCTTTCATGCGTCTGGTGAGATTCTCCCTGTTCTCCATATCCTGCATCAAAAGAAGACCAAAACAGTTATTTGAGCTCAGAGAGACAGACTTCCCAGAGGGAAAGACATTCAAAGGCGTGTCTGAGCCGAGCAGGGACAGTGAATAGGCAGGAAAAACTTGCAGGATTCACAGGGACTGGAGAGCTGCAGAGAGAAGGCAGGAGGGAACATCAGGGCACTTACAGATCCTCTGGAGCTCTGATGCAGCACAGGGTTGAAGAGATCATCCACATAGTGATCCAAGCCCACAGGGTTCCTCAGGTCATCTCTAAATCTTGGATCTGGGAGCAGAGAGAAGTCTGGTGACAAGGCAGGTAAGAAACCTTCCCCTGCCTCCAGTCCCTATTAGTCATGGTTCAGAGGGGAGCTCTACAACAAGAAGAATCACCTGACTCCCCCTCTGCCCTGATGCCCCGGCTGGGGCCCATCTGGCCCTTCCCAGTGTCAGCCACAGTCCTGGGCTAAAGCTCACCTGGATGGAGACCAGTAAATTCTGGAGGCAGGCTGGGTGGGGGGAAGGCAGGGGCCTGGATACCTGGAGCAGGAGGGATCCTGTTGAAGAGGAAAATGAGATAAGGATCAGAGTGCTGGAAGGTGGGTGACAGGGCCACAAGTGGTGAGGCAGGAGGAATTGGTGGCTCACATGTCCAGGTCAGAGGACTGCAGGATGCTCCTGTCCCTTTCTGGAGTGATGGGGTACTCAGTGGGGGCCCGGGAGGAGCTAATGAAGTTGCTGGTCTCCTCCATCTCTCCAATGAGGTCCAGCACAAAGTCACAGCCCAGCAGGTCCTGCCATGTGTTGCCAGTGAACATGGAGATAGACCACCCTCGAGTGCTCTTGTCACAGCCCCTGGGACAGGAAAGGTGTCCAGGCAGGCAGGGGAAAGGGAGAGGAAGGAAAACATTATATTCAGTTTCTTCTTGCCTTGTCTATCCTGGCTTAAATCCTTTCGATTTAGGGTGTGAATCAACTATTAAGTGCCCAGGGTTAGAAAAAAAACTAGAATCATTCAAGATTTGTCCTTTTTATCAATTTTTTTTTCTCTGAAGCTGCTCTCAGAGATCACATCAGTGGTTCCTCTCTTCTTAAAAAAGCCCATTGTTTATGGTTGAGGGTTATGTTAAGGGTGAAGAAGGGAGCATAGGCTGGAGTGGGCAAGAAATGAGTATTCTACACATGACCATATAAACCCCAGCCTGCAGACCAAACCAGGCTGAACCTTAGAGCTGGTGACAGCCCCTCACACACCCCCAGACCTGATCCCATCCTCTGGCAGTACCTTGCACTCAGGATGCAGGCTGCAAACTGCTCCCCAGTCATCCAGGACTCCACCTCAGTTGAGAACTTCTCCTCTGGCACAGAGAGCAAAGTCAGTACCCACAGCCTCCCTGGCAGGACCCAAAGCAACACCCACATGGGACACAGGCAGAGCCCAGCTGGAAAGTCTCACACACTCCTGAGCAGGGCCAAAGGAGGACTGAAAGCTCATGGAAGGCTCCACATGGACACATTCACATCCAAAATATCTGTTTGATGGCACAGGCTGGCATTTCCAACCTGACAGGTAAAAACCTGCGGTGTCCTGGTTTGCTTGGGGATCACTCCACTCACAAGGAGCCAGAGTAGGGACATTCTGTGTTCAATTCATAGAGCTTCTGGCTGCTCAAGAGGCAGCTTCAGGTAATATTTGAGAAGGGCATAAATTCTCTGCAACAAAATCCTGCTGCATTGGCTGTAATGGATAGCAGCCCTGTAGAGATGCACAGCCTGAACAACCCTCTGAGGAGCAGGGCCCAAACCCAGGACAATCTCATCCCTCAGCCTGAGAAGCAGGTCCCACCAAGCCCAGACTTTGCAAGTTTTGGGTCTAAATTCAGATGCTTGTTTCCTCCATGGCTGTACCAGCAAACAGCATTAATTAGTTGAGGGGATTGTTTCCCAAATGCTGATTTCTGCACTGGAAAAGTCCTTAGAGACTAAAAGACAGCAGGAGGGCAGAAGACTGAGTTACCATTAAAGGTATGAACATCCAGCACCATCTTCCCTCTCCTCTGGTTTGCTGTCCACTCCAGCTGGGTGGGAGGGTAAGCCCGAGAGGGCGCAGGCTCCGTCTCTGTGCACTGAGCTGCCGTCAGCATCTTGCGCTGGCAGACAGCGCTGTAGCCCTCCATGCCATAGTCTGACACAAACCTAGGAGGAGGAACTGCATGTAGCACTGCTCATCCCTCTCAACCCCTCTGTAAGCCTGCCTTGGCCTTTTCTCCTCTTACTTCAGCAGTGGCTTCTCCAGGGCTGGTGAGGGCCCAAAGCAGCTCAGCAGAGTGGCCATCAGGACCCAGCCTCGCTGGCTGCGCTCCGTGTCCGGGTTCCTCCAGGTCTGGGCGACCACCTGGCTGAAGATTTCATTGCGCAGAGCAGCATCACTCAAACCTCTCCCAGCAATGTAGTTGCCCAGCAGGACCTCCTGCCAGCCACGGAGGCTCTGGTCACCGATGAAGCGCAAAATCTGGAAGCATTGGGGGCAAGAGAGAGAGAATGGAGCTGTAACCCTCTGTCCCAGCCTGTGGTGGAAGGACTTGGAGACACCAGGACCCTCCGTAGCCAACAATCAGACTGGGGCCTGTCCTCAGGTTTTTGTGCACTACCAAAGTGCTGGGCAATTTGGGAGGCAACGTTTAGAGAGATTGGATCCTGACTAAAAGTCAGGGTGACTTCAGTCTCTTCTGAGGTATGACTCAGAATTTGGTCTAGGGCAAAATATTTTCCCTTGGGCAGGGCTTAGACACACAAGTAAATTTCCACAGGATACTTCTTACTAAGCCCACTGAGTGCTTAAAAGCCTTTGGTACAGTTAATATTATACCAAGTACTATGGGATGTGGTGTCTCAACACAGTCACTGAAGAAATGATTCAGCTTCTTGACTATGCATATCAACATCTTCAATGCTTCTTTAGTTTGTATTTATCACCCTTAGGTACAGAATTATTTCTTTCATCGTCTATACTTCAATATATCACAAATTTATTCTTTTTTTCTAAAATGGACAGCTTTGGAAAGAGCATTTAAGCATAACTTAAGCATTTAAGACTATGCATATCAACATCTTCAATGCTTCTTTAGTTTGTATTTATCACCCTTAGGTACAGAATTATTTCTTTCATCGTCTATACTTCAATATATCACAATTTTTTTTTCCTAAAATGGACAGCTTTGGAAAGAGTATTTAAGCATAACAATACTTCTGAAAACACTTAATGGTACCAAGTGTGTCAGAGATTCACTGAGAAAAACAGGGAATGGTCATTGTTTAGTTCTCATGGAATTCTTTGTAGCAAATTCCTCCTTCATTAGCAAGGAAGAAAAACTGCCTTTGATCTTTAGAAAAATAATAATGTTCTGCTTAAACACAATCCTATTCACAAGATTTTGTTGAAGCTTATGCTCTTCTATAATTGGGATCACAAGGACAAAACAAGAGACTGTTTTTAGGTATTAACTTTCTTAATGGGCTTATTTTAATTCCATGTAATGTCCAAAAAGATGACCAGATTTACTTAGAATGAAACTCCAGATACTTTCTATTTTCAACCATTTTAAACAAGAAATACAAAGAAATATATGTTTCACATCCACAGAGATGAAACAGCACCATCCCCTTCACACAAACACGACAGAGTGAGGGTGTGGCTCCAGGTGTACTTTTCCTGATGACAAAGTCCCTGCCCTTTTCCAGCCTTTAGACAACAGTTCACTGTCCCCTGTTGGGTACTGACACATCTGTGAGCCCGAGGTGCAATCGAGATGTCTGCTGTAAACCACATCATGGAAAAGATCTGGGTTAAATGACACTTTTTTTATGACTGATAGATGAGCAAGTGGTTGAGAAGACAGACTTCCCTTATCATTGCCACTGAGTCTGGAATATTGGGATATTAATGTTTAGCAGTCCTATTCCTATATGTCCTGCCAAATTCTGAGGCTCCATCACCAGGCAATTCACTTTGACCCCAGTAGGATGTGGCTGGTCTGTGCATCCCCAAAAACAGCAACCTTAAGGGGCTGTGTGTAATCTCTGTCAGGCTGCTCCTAGAAGGAGCAATTTATTCTGCTTTTCCAGCCCTCCATGTATTTTAAGAACAGTATCCACCACCAGCAACTTGTTGTATAAAGGCATCAAAACATGGTCTGTGCCCACCTGTTCCTCAGCAAGGTCAAGAACAATGTCTCTTACCAGTTTGTTTATCTCAAGTGCACTCTCCTGGTGTGCAGCATCCAGGCGGGTTAAGGGGTGCTTCAGAGGCTGACCAGGGGTAGGGAATTCTACAAATTCTGGCTTCTACAAAGAAACAAAAAGGGTAGAAATATTTGCTCCTGGTGTTGCTAAAACCAGTGTGTTTGCCCACAGGGGAGGCAGTGAAGAGAGATAAAAAGAGTTCCCACCTGGAAGTGTGATTTGACAAAGGAGGAGAAGGGATGGCTGTTGATGGTGGGTGGGAGGGAAAGGTTATCCTTGACCTTGACTTCTGGGGGCTGTGTCTCAGTTATCTGGTTGGCCTGTGCTTGGTGTCGACCTGCAAGGGAAGGAGGTGTGGTGAGGTGGCAGAACACAAACAAGTCACACAGCAGCTCCTGGCTGAGCTGCACCTCACCCTGCCGAGCCCCTGACCCAGCCCTGGCTCCAGGGACAGCCAGCCCAGCCCTGCTGCCTCAGAGCCACAGCAGGCACAGCCTCACCTCCCTGAGACCACAAGAACTCCCTTCAGGGGGGGGATTTTACAGCTCTGATCTTTCAGACTCTTCTCCCCAGGGAACACCTGGAGATTCAAGGCTGCTCTGCAGCCTTTGCAGGCAGGAAATGCTGAGCCCATCCAGAGATACTGCTGACAACAGCCCAGTCCACAAGGAAATGAGAGGTCTTTGTAATGAGGGATTTCTCACAGATAAGAGAGGAGCAAACATCACTAAATGAAGGGATTTCTCAATGCAGCACAGCTCCTGTGCATTCCTCTCTCCAGCTGTATCCCCGATGCTCTCCAATCCTCCCCATTTACATCCCATCAGCTTTCATTTCCAGCAGTTTCACTGTTCCCTGAGCCCCTCTGGCTTACATTGCTCACTAGACCAGCTCATAGTCCCTGGAGGGCTCTGCCACGAAATGTGAGCTATTTGGGAATCCAGCCCAGTCTGCTCCAATTCACCAGACTCTTCTGCCTGGTTGTCTCCCTCACTGTCCCCCACAGAAGGCCACAAGCACAGCTGGCTTTGGCTTTGACACCACACAGACAGAGAGAGGCAAATCCTGCCTCAACCAATTTGCAGCTTGAATATTCACATTGTACAGAGAGCTACAGAGGAAACACAACTGCACAAAACAATGCTCAGGGTCAGATCAACAGCTTGTGAAATTATTGCATTTTGTGGTATTTTGGTGATTTGAAAACCAATTGGTGCATCCCTAAATTGATAAATTAACACATACTCAATTTGTTATATTAATACATCCTTGGACTGACAAACTGTTATATCTCAAGTTATTACATTGTTCCATATCAAGCTGTTCCCCTGTTTCTACTTTCTTCTATTTTAAACTTCGCTTTGAGGAAATAGTTTTTAATGAAACCTAAAAATATTTATTTGAAATTGTCAAAACTGTCATTTTCTTCCCCTTCGATTTCCTTAAAGATTTTAGAGTAGGTAAAAGATGGGTTTAAGTTTTTCCACCCCAGATATTCATCTCTGCCAGAGACCTGGGTTCATTAAGCAGTTTGCTGTCACATAACTTTGACCAAAGAATTTTGCACCATCCCTGCCATCAGTTCTACCAGCCCAGCTCAAAAGAAGAGCCGAAAAATTAACAAAGATATTGATTTTCAAGCTGGTGTTCTGCCCCTTGGCCCAAGTTGCTTTTCCTCCCCACCGTGTCAGGAAACAACATCCACGGTACCATTTGATCATGTTTACACTGCAATGATAATGAATCAAATCCAGCCCAGTGACAGGCAGCAAGGAGAACAAAGACATACTTTGATATAAACAAGGAAATACTCAGTGAAACAGTGCAGGAAAGGGAGAGAAGGAGGAGGATTTCTCACCTTCAAAAGAGTGCAGGAGGGCTGCAAGTTCTGCAGGGATCTCCAGCAGCCCCACGTCCTGGAGAGAAAAACAAACCAGTCACTGGCTGCCAGCAGAGAAAAAAGCACATAAAACCCCTGAGCTGAGACTGGGTGAAGCTGCCTTGGAAAAGCTGCCAGGACAGGGATGGAGCATCTGAGCCAAAGCAGGGACTTCTGCCTCCACAACACTCGGAGCCATTGCAGACAGGGAGGGATTGCATGAGCACAGCTGTGACATGGGTCAGCACAGGAGGGGAAGGGGAGCAATTCCTAAATAAAATATCAACTGCCACAAGGGGAAGGACAGGGAAGCTGGCTTTCTTTGACTCATCTCTCATTCCTATCAAGTGTGGCATATTGCACTGTAGAGATTGCACCTGAAGGGTAAGGGCCATTTCCTCTTGCACTTTCCTGACAGTTTTCTTTTGATTTTTCAGAATCCAAAAGTGCTGCAGCATAAAATGAGACCTGTTTCTGATCTTTGATATATGCTGGAGGTTCCTAAGAAAGCTCAGAGCTCTACCAGGGTAATCCAGAGGAGAATCTGACCAATGAGTCTTGGTTTTTCACTGCTGCAGGGTAGGAAGCAGATGGGCCAATACAACACAGTGTGTCACCATCAGTGCATGTAGAGTTAGCTCAGGGCATTTCAGACAGAACTACTCAGATTAAGGCACTATAAAACCAAGCCAAAGTCATAAAACAGGAGCTTTTGGGTTTTTTTTGGTTTCTTGTTTTTTTGGGGTATTTTTTGATCTGCATAGTAAAGCCTCTTGTCACCAGCACATTATTCTGACATCTCTCTCCACATAAAACTTAAAGAGATATTTGCAGCATTTTTGATCAGTTTGATTTTGTTCATAAGATACTTGACTTCAAGTCTGGCTTTTCAATGCTGCATTCAGGAAGTGGACTGTGAAATTCCACAGTTCTGGATCCACACCTGAGGAAGCAGGTGACACAAGAGCACCCAGGGCTAATTTTTATTGTTGTTACTGACAGATCTATACAGAATTGTGGATAATATCAATTCACATTCCCTCGATAGACACTGCAGCAAATGTGTGTCCAGTCTAGACACATCAATAAAGGCATCAGTTACAAGTGTTGATACAGGCTAAAAGTGTTATGAAGCCTTTAATACATCCCTTCCTCTACATCAGCTTCTGTCAATACATTTATGCAGAAGTGTCTCATTCCCACCCCTCACAACAGAAGATGATCACCAAAAACAATCTTCCTTCCACCTCTGCAGACCAGGTCCAGTGCTGTGAGCAAACACAGTGCTCTGGCTCAGGACTGGTTGATGGTGCCTGGCTGTGCCCAGAGCATGGGAAACTCTGAACTAATGAGATACTTCTGTATTAGAAGGCCCTTGACACCATCTACCCTGCATTCTGTACCAGGTTCCAGACACGTGTGCCCCCTCTAGATGTTCTGTTGTTCCCCAGCAAACCTGGCCTGAGGAGGCACAAGGGAGGGAGAACACCTGGAGAACCTGATTTTTTTTAATCACAGACCCTCCCAGACCATTTGACAACTCACCATTCCTTGGCTGGGACTATTCTCTGGGTCACCACAGGCCAGGGACCTCCTTCTTTGTTTCCTTTCCTCTAAACCTTGCTGTTAGGAGATGAAAAGGGGATAGAGGTTGGGAAGATGTGTATGAATTAAATTCCAGCTATTCTGGGGGCAGATGCTGAGGGTGGCCAGGAGATGGTGTCCTGCTCCAGCAGATAAAATCACAGAACAGCTACAGAGTCTTCCTGGGACCCCAACACTGTGTTGAGAAGGGGCTGCACAGGCAAACACCTAAGCTTTGCTGAAACACCTCCTGCCCTTCATAACACAATTCAACAGCAAGAGCCTCCAGCACCTGCCCAGCATCCTGGCACACCTTCCCCTGCTGGGCATTTGATGTGGCTCAGGACAAAGGCACCCAGCAGCTGCCAGAAATATTCACCCATCTCCTTCAGCATCAAAGCACCTGATAACAGCCTGAACAGGACAGATGGACTTGTCCATGGAGAGGAATTCCTTTAGAAAGGTGGGAGGGATACCAAAAGCTAAACTCCCTCGCAGCTCTGCCCTTTCCCATCCATTCTATTGCTCCCCATCCTCATCACTCACCTGAGATGGGGAAGGAGGGTCTCTGTCTCCTTCTCTGCCTCTCTCCTGCCTGTCAGTGGTGCAGAGCACTGTGACTACATGGGAGCTTATGAGGGCTGGGCTGACAAAGACAGTGACAAACTAAAGTCTAAAGGGCAGGGCCGCGGGGTGGGGGAAAGGAGGAACTTTGCAGCAGGTGAACTTTGAGACCTTTGCTGCTGGTACTGCATGTAAAGAGACCTCAGCAAACAAACACTGAAGGAGCAGAAACAGATTCAGAAGAGCTGCACCGTTGTGGTTACCTGGGAGAAAGAAAATCTGGATCTTGTCCAAGTGGGAAGGGCAAGAAACAGAATAGAAACTCATGCTGTGCAGGACATGGCAAGAGAGGAGGCACCTCTGCAGGTCTGTATCAACACCACTGTCCTTAACCCTCTGCCCCACCATGCCCTCAGCCATGCCAGGAGCTGTGCTGGGTCCTTCCCTTGTAAAGCTGACAGCTATGAGATGTTGCTGCTTCTCTAAGAGTGAAGCTGATTTCCTCTTTCCAGATTTATTTTAATAGTAAGGAAGCGACCCTTTAATAATAAGGAAATGACCCTTACCCTTCAGGTGCAATATTTTAATTTCCCAATTTTATTTTAATAGTTTGTGCAGAATACATTATACCCATAGGACAGAACCATGGCTCTCCCCTGTACACTATTTTCCATCTTCTCAAAAAACCTGCCATCCTGCTCTCACCCCAGCTGATTTCCAAGAGGCCAAGGGCTTGAGAAGCCTGAGGCAGCTGTAAGGGATCAGGGGAGGATCATCGTAGACTGAAAGAATCTTGCAATTCAGTCACCATCAGTAATGGAACTGGGCAACAAAAAAAGCAAGATGAATGACTCGTTACAGCTTGAGCAGAGCAGCAGCTCTGAAAACCACAGATGGAATTAGCTCTTGTCTCACACAGGGCAGCCTGGAGTGATGCCTGGAGAGGCTGCCTAGAACAGAGGCTAGACAGAGTTAGAGAATAAAGTAGGCATTTATTAAAGGCCTTCAACAGATACACCTTGGGCAGTGCAGGGGAGGCTAGACAGAGTTAGAGAATAAAGTAGGCATTTATTAAAGGGCAGTGCAGGGGCCTGGCAGAGGCTTCACCCAAGATGGATGATGGTCATGAGCTTTTCAGACAGATGTAAGTTTGGTCATTGACATATCAGAGGATAATTGTCCAATTACAGCTTCAGGTAATGAAGTCACATTGCCCCACTTTGCTTCCCTCAATTCACTTTTGTTTATACTTTTCAGGCCTGAAGCTGTGATGGCGACCTTGGTTCTCAGGCCTGGAAGGATTGTTTTGTCCGACCAAAATGTGAAGAGAGCTAACTAACACTATATATGGAGTTCAGAGTTATACCCTAATGCAGTACAGGATCTGAAAAACATAAAACTTAAGGCATCATCCCCACCCTGGCTCACACAGCCAGACCCATGAATCAGCTGTGTTTGCAATACCTGTGCCAATTGTGCATGTCACTTAGAGAGAGAAGGCTCCAGCCTCTCTGGTTCCTTCATTTGACTCCATTTATGTCAGACAGAGGGTGAAGGACACCTCACTGGGCAAGGACACCTCACCTCACTCCCAGCAAACCTTCCAAAGGCATCTCTGCCCTGGCCTCACCCAGTCCCCAGCTCGCTCTGCTTAGGGCAGAAACAGCCCCTCCTGTACACCTTGCTCTGTTGTTACCTGGCAGCGCTTCCTCCTTTGAATCAAAGGTCTGGAGATTACAATCATCGTTTTAAATTGCACCAAAGTCTTCTTCAGCCTCCTGTAACGCTTCCTAGAGGATGAGAACAGAATTGTCTGCTGAGGGACACATCAGCCACACAAACCAAACACCCGCGGAGCAGGCCGGGAGCCAACGTGAGGAGGAGCCTGGACATCCCCACCTGGCTGTCCCTTGGCAAGGCCAAAGGGCTGTCCCTTGGCTGTCCCTTGGCTCCTGACCTTGCCTGGTAAGCTCAGAAGTGGGCCTGGCTGAGCACGAGTTTCTCCTGGAGGACACGGAGGCACCGGCGCTGCAGGAGGCAGCGGAATTTCCTCTGCAGAGTGACCGCGGCCCAGCTCTGCCTCGGCCGCCATCGTCTCTCCTGCCCGTCTCCTTCAGAAACACCCGGGCAAAGGCAGCAGCTGCTGACCCACGAGGGAAGCAGCAGCTTCTGCCAGAGCTGATCAATAATAAAAACTGCTGGTTTATCCCTTTGTAGCCTTTAAGGGTTCTTGCTAAGGAAACTGGGGAGGGCAGGAGGCACAGGTGCAAGCAGCAGAGATGGATGCATTGCCGTGGACAAGCCATCAGGGAGTGATGAAGATTAGCAGGCAGCAAAAGTAGAAGCCCAGGAACGCTGGGTATACAAAGGACTTGGCCATGCTACAGTAGCCTGGAGCTGGAGTCTCCTGTTAATCTGAAGTGCTAAAAATGCCTCCTTAGTACTTGAGACAAGAAGCAAAGGTGAGAAGTCACCCTTAAACTGAAGGTAAAAACATTGACTACTTGTGCAATCATTCTGGAAAACAGCCTCACCCTTTGAAAGGGATCCCATGAGAGGCTGACAGCTTCTCACCTGAGTCAGGGATGTCTGGTCATCCAGGATGCACAGGATGCCATGGGGCTTTGCAGTAAGGAAATCCAGGCACGACTCACTGCACATCTTAGAAATAGGAATCCAAGATAACTGCTCCTGGCTGTATTCCTCCTGCATGTTAAAGGCCAAATCCAGCCAAGCAAACAAGGACAAATGGAGAGAATTAACAGAGGGATTTGGTTTTTATCAGGAAGTTAGTGTTTCACAGCTGTTAGGAACTTGCCTAGAATTGTCTGGATTTGTCTCATGAAACTTCATCTAAAGCCACTAATGATTTTCTTGATTTGAGAGAAGAAGGCTGCTGAGTGATAAAGTGAACTGTAGAAGTCAACAAGTCTGATAAATACACTTTCATCCCCAGGACATAAGTTGTGGTACAGAAAATGCTACAAACAAGTCAAACAGGCTTTAAAAGTGCCCACCATAAAGTGAACTGTAGAAGTCAACAAGTCTGATAAATACACTTTCATCCCCAGGACATAAGTGGTACGGAAAATGCCACAAACCAGCCAAACAGGCTTTAAAAGTGCCCACCGAGGTCTGGGCTTTGACCCTGACCAACTCACTTATAAAATCTGGACAAGGGAGCAAGGTGCTGACAAAATCTCCTTCCCTTAATTTACCGTAGAATTAATCAAAGGTATTAAATGGCAACTCTTTGGATGAGGATTCCATGGATATTGCCTAAGAGGACCATTCAGTTTCCTGTTCCCTGCTGGGGGATACTCTGAGGATGCCTCAGCTCAGTCCATGTGTGCTGGCTCAAGGTGGTGTGAATTCCACTGAGCTCCACTTACCTCAATGGGCAATGACAGTCTGGCTGAAGAATCACTGGAGGTGCTCATCAGCAAAGTTGATGCAGAGCTGCTCTAAGTTGTTCACCCCCAGATCCTGCAAAGATAAAAATTCATCCCTTCAAGGCCCAGGAGGCTGTGGCTCCCTGTAACAGCTGCACAGGCTGAGCTGAGTTGCTGGTTCTGGCCAGTGTGGATGGACCCCAACAGTTCAAACCATCTTCTGTCTGGTTTGCAAGCTCAGCCTGGCTTACTGACTAGGCTGAGCAGCCAGAGGTGAGACAAGCTGTGAAGGAGCATAAAGAAGGAAAGATCTACTCTTGGATGCACAGCCCCACCTCTGTATTCCATTGTTTTCAGCATTCATTGGCACACAGGTTTTTAACGGGAGCCCTAAGTAAAATACTGCAAGGCCTTGGTGAGCACTTGCCCTCACTGCCCAGACCATAGCAAAAGAAGAAGAAAAACAACCTCAAAGCCATGGATGTCCACAATGCCCACAGCACAGTCAGACTCCCAGGGAACCAACCACTCGTTGATCCTCAGCAGCAGCCACTCAAAGAGCAGGTAGCACAGAGCCTTGGCAATGGAGTCCCTGAGTGGCAGGGGGGACAAGAACCAGTTACTGCAAAGACAGCACCTCTGGGTGCATCTCACCCACCCAGACAACAGCAGAAGTCACCTGGCATCAATGGCTCCTTTGACAGACAGAGGGGTGAAGATCTGATCATAAGATGTAACCTGGATACAGAGAGAGACAGAATTTACTCTTATTATCTCTCAAAACCACCTTTTTTAAAATTTTTTTAATCCACAAGGAAGTCAACCAAGATAATAAATGGATATTTTTTTCTATTTGGCTGAGAATTTACCCAGATATCAAAAGGAAAACTAAACCCAGAATTTTACTACCAGAGGTGAGAGTCACCTGGCCAAAGTGACAAACCTGAAGCCACTCATATCAGAAAAGAGCCCTCCTAGATGTGAGCTCTGCCATCTTTACAGAGCTGCCCTGAGGGGCTCAGCCCACCCCAACCATTTTATTCCTGCTTTTACCTCCCACATTTTGAGCCTTCTAAGTTTAGTACAGTGGGGCAGGACATTGCATGCTTCAGGAGGAATGAGACATCACCAGAAAGGGACTCACAGTGACATGGTGTGTGACAGCACTCTGCAGGAGCTCTGCTGAGACACACAACAGACTGGCCACAATCTGAATCTCAGCCTCACTGGCAATGGCTTTGTGTTCAAAGGATTCTTTCTAAATAACAAAGTTTTCTTTATTATATATGTTATAGATACATAATATTGGCTTTTCACAAATATTAAATTGGATTTTATATGTGTAGCTATGATTCTTTCTAAATAACAAAGTTTTCTTTATTATATATGTTATAGATACATAATATTGGCTTTTCACAAATATTAAAATGGATTTTATATGTGTAGCGCTAAAGTAACTTTGTTATAAAGATATAGTTTTTTATTTCTGTTGTTAATTAAGCTTGGTGAAATAGCTGCTTGTGCTAAAATGCCCGCTTGGATGGGATAACATCCAATGAACACAGGATGAGTGCACCTGTTCAGATCTGCCAACCATCAGCACTCACCTTCTGAAGGCAGTGTGGGCCAGGGCCAAAACTGAAGATGATGGTAAAAGTGGACTAAAACCACAACCAAGGATTACACATGCTCTAAAATGGCAAACCCAAGGAGGGGCCATGTAGGAATACATAAACTAGTTTGGGAAAAAGTTTGGTATGCATAAGGGTCTGTGAATATGCAACAGGCTGATGTAAGGGAAAAGGTATTTAAGGGGTATCTCTGAAGATAAGTGAGCTCTTGGCTGAATACCAAGATGCACCCAGCCTCAAGGACCTTTGCTCTGTGGTCCTTGTCTCTTATTGTCCTTTATTAAACTTTTTGAATCTTCACAGGAGAGTGAACGTGTTTTTCACATATATTACGGCACATATATTACTATCTATATTACTCTATTTATAGATAAGAACAATGGATGGGATACAAGGTCCCTTTTGTATAAATATTCTCAACCTCAGCTGCGCAGAGCTGGTCACAGCCTGGGCAGAACACCAGGCTCATTTTGGCTCCTTAAAGAGACGCTCGGAATTCCAGCAGGCAGTGCACCTGTTCAGATCTGCCAACCATCAGCACTCACCTTCTGAAGGCAGTGTGGGCCAGGGCCAAAACTGAAGATGATGGTAAAAGTGGACTAAAACCACAACCAAGGATTACACATGCTCTAAAATGGCAAACCCAAGGAGGGGCCATGTAGGAACATGTAAACTAGTTTGGGAAAAAGTTTGGTATGCATAAGGGTCTGTGAATATGCAACAGGCTGATGTAAGGGAAAAGGTATTTAAGGGGTATCTCTGAAGATAAGTGTGCTCTTGGCTGAGTACCAAGATGCACCCAGCCTCAAGGACCTTTGCTCTGTGGTCCTTGTCTCTTATTGTCCTTTATTAAACTTTTTGAATCTTCACAGGAGAGTGAACGTGTTTTTCACATATATTACTGCACATCTATTACTATCTATATTACTGTATATTATAGATAAGAACAATGGATGGGATACAAGGTCCCTTTTGTATAAATATTCTCAACCTCAGCTGCGCAGAGCTGGTCACAGCCTGGGCAGAACACCAGGCTCATTTTGGCTCCTTAAAGAGACGCTCGGAATTCCAGCAGGCAGCTGGCCACTCCGGCCACTGGACACCAACACCAGTCCTTTTCCCTGGGAAACAAAACTCACCAGTGTTGAGATCTTATTGCAAAGGTTTTCTACCTTCTTTGGGACTTCTCAGGAGTAGCTCCTCGCAGCACTGACTCTTTCTTCTTCTCAGCACAGCCCACAAACTCCATCTAACTTCTCAAGCATCCAACCGACTCTTACATTAGCCATCCTCATTGGATCTAGCTGTGGCCTATTAAGGGCTGGCCTGTTCTGAATTCTTGATAATTCCCACAGATGTAACTCCTTAGGGGTGAGGCTACCTTCATCACTATCGCTATTTTCCTACGTTCCAACCATCCACACCTGAACACGAACGCCGGCCCTTTTCCCTGGCAAACAAAACTCACCAGGGCAGGCTCCTGATGTCAGTCTGCAGGAGGCACTTGGCACTGTCAAACCAGCCACAGCTGCTGATGGTGGCACCTTGGGTCTGGGAGGCAAGGGTGAGGTCCAGGCAGCCCTTGGGCTTCTTCTTGCCAAGATCCAAGATAAGATTTTGTCAGTTTCTGCGAACTCTTCTGTGCATAATCTGGTATTTTTCCCTTTCCTTCTCTGCAGCAGGCTGGGTTATTCCTGTTAATTATCACCTTGAAGACTCTGCTTTACAATGCTTTGCCAGCCAGGTAACATTAATCACCCATTAAGGGCTGGGCCCTTAATTGCCCTCCATCCTAGAGCCATTAATGGTGCTTGTCCATTCCTCGCCTGAAGGCGAGGTGATAGCAATCACTATCGAGGATTCCTCCTGACCGCAGCTGCTGTAAAGAATTCGAATTTGCCACCTGGGAAAGCTGACTCTCGCTGAAATAGGAAAGATTTATTGCTATTGTTGTGACCTGCTTGATTATGAAAACAATCTTTAAAAAACTCAAACAAAACAAAACGCACACCGACCAGAAAAAAAAAAAGGAAAAAAAAAGTGTGTTCCAAGATTGTGACTTGATGTAAGTCTGACAAACAAATACAATTTAAATAATTGCAATCAGCAGTGTATTTCAGTGGTTTAAAATCTGCACTCATTGACAATAAAGGAAGTGTTTTGCAGAAGATAGAAAGAAATCCTCTCTGCTTTTTGCAGTCCCACAGTAAATTGCAAATGCAAGGAAAGGCAATGAGAAAAGGGGTTTTACACCACACGATGGAGCCATAAGTTTACACAACTCCTCGTTAGAGTCTCTCAGGGCAGAAGGGGCCTGAAAAGTGAGAAAATTATCACCAGAGATAAAGATGTTGATTCTTAAATCAGGTATGAGAAGGAGCAGAGCTGACTTTAGCAGAGTCCTGAGAATCCTTTGCAGTGGAGAAAAGTGCTTTGGTGCCTCTCTAACCACACAGAAGGGATGCCTGGTCCATTTCTCAGTGCCAGCTGCTGCAGAGCACCCTCGGCTCACTCACCTGGTTCAGGTAACAGCAGCACTCTGCCTCCTGCAAGCATCTCCTCTTTCTGCTCCGCGGGCAGCCCTGCCAGCAGCTCGTAAAACACGGGGTAGTTTCTCTCACCATGGGAGAGTCTCTTTCCACATCTCTTTTTAAAACTCCATTTCTTCCTGTTTGTGGTGGCTTTTCCCTTCTTGTCACTGCTATCCTCACTCTCCTGCCCTGATGTCATTTCCCACTGCTTGCAGGCTTTTCCTTTTTTCCTCTCCAACCTGGACTCTCTGTGTTTTCTCCCCAGACCAGATTCACTTTTATAATTTCTCCTGCAGGCTCTTTTTCTCCGGAATAACTTCTTGTGGTCGTTCTCTTTGCATTCCTGAGGCCTCCCCAGCCTCTGGATTTTTAAGGGCTCTTCTCCAAGGCTGTCACCTTGCCCAGGAAGTGACTCTTTGCCCTTCCCTTGGCCTCTGCTCTTACCTTCCCTCCTCTTCCCACAGCACATCTTTGAGTCTCCTGAAGAATGTTTTTCACAATTGAACATCTTCTCTTTCCCAGCCTTTTTCTGCTGAGTCTTGGATTGGGAAGGAGGCATTTCCTCAGTGTTCAGGAATATGTGAGGGCTCACCTTGACTCACCTGTGAAAGGAAATATTGTGCATTTTGCTGTGAAATAAGCTACAAAGGGAAGGCAGATGCTCCTGAGCACTAATTTGCCTTGTTTCTGTGGAGCCAAATAAATGTTTGCAGAGCCTTGCATGTGCCAAACTGACTGCCCTGTTCCAGGTTCATCTCTGGCTCAGTTTGTCACAAATCACCCTGATTTTCTTCTTTTATTAGAATCATACCATCATAGAATATGATGACCTGGAAGGGACCCACCAGGATCATCCCAGTCTGACTCCTGGGCCTGCACAGGACACCACAAGAATCCCATCATTAGGCCACGTGTCCCTGATTTTCTACAGCTGACAAAGCTTTGGACACACTGTAGCTTAAGATAGAATGATTCTTTTATTTCAGTTTCTGCTTTTCCACTATCCTTCTTTGTGCTGAAGAAGAGTGTATGTGAAATAAACATCAGAAGCAAACACTGCTCCAGTGTGTCATCACATCTCCACTCGACTGCCCCTGAGTGCTCTGGCATTCCCTGGCAGGGTGGGAAATGGTCAGTATCCCAGCTCTTCACCTCTTTATCTTTCCTCTAATCATACACATGGAATAAAAGATGTAAAAGTGCCCAAAGGATTGGTCCTGATCTTTCAGGCAGATGCAAAATATCACTTCTACCCTTTCCAGCTCTCCAGACTCTTTATTTTATGAGTCAGCCCTTTGCTGCTTCAGGCATCCCACTGGGGCCCCTGGGAGTGAATGAAGTGCTGCTGGCAGAGCCTGGCTTTGGGTCCCCAGCACCAAACACTGCAAGGAAAAGCTCCAAACCACAAAAGAGTAAGAGCACAACTGGAAGGAAAGGATGGATCAGAGAAAGGAAAACTTGGAGGTGAGTGGATGAGGAGAATGAGACTAAGGGAAAAATCTTACAGCAAGGAAACCCATCAGTCTGCAACATCTTCCCAAAGAAAACAGATAAAAAGGCTCTTGTTGGGGCTGTTTGGGACTAACTTGGAAATTGTTTTACCCAGTGATGGGCAGGGAACAAACCAGCACAGGACAGGGAAATTCCATTATATATTTTGTCCCCTCATCTCTTTCTCTGTAAAGTTTTCTCTCCATTTTCTCCTTTTTCTTTCTCTTTGTTCTTCAGCCAATTCTGTGGATTCTCCACAGTCAGAAGAGAAACTCCCAGCCATCACAAATTTACAAATTCTGCCAGTGGGTAACAGAGGATGGAGCAGTCAAGATTTTGTTACTGATTTCTCCCAACTTCACCAAGCATTAACTTATTTAAAGGCTGAAATCCAGCATCTGGAAACCTCCAGTCACTTGTTAGACTATTATGGGATGCTGGCAATATATTTACCTGTCTGACACTGACCCTGCACCCCAGTGGCTGTGGGTGCAATGTCTGTACACAAGCTACAAGCCCAAAAGGGTTTTGGCCGAGGCTTCCTGGAACTTCCATCCACAGACATCTCCCTGCCCCAGGGAAGGGGATGGGGGAAAACACAGTCAAGATTGTAATTCAGCAAGCTTTAAAAGCTTTAAACCTTTACAGCTGCTATAAAGTCTGACAAGGAATGAGAATTTTTAGCACTTAGTACCTCAGCAAAGATGGAAATCCAGCCACTCTCCATAATATCTTATGACCTGGCTGCAGACTGAAAATTGTCCAAGCGTGTTTACAAGTTAGTAAAGTAAATTTTGAAAAAAAGGCCATTAAAAAGTACATTCCAGTACTCTGGGAGCAACTCTGTAAGAAACGACTCAGTGAATCAAAAAGTTTGTCTCACCTCAGTCACTCCAAGGAGGGCAGCAAAACCACATTTGAGATTTCCACAGCTAGGGAAGGATGATGCTCTAAGAAAAGCACATTTGGTGTGTGTAAAGCACAGGGGTTTATTGCAAATGTTGGTTCCTTTTCTGTACCACCTATTTTGTGCTCTTCTGCACCACAGAACAATCTGCAATGGGGAAAAACAGCATCTCCCTTTCCTCCAGCTGCAACTCTGATACTAAACCAAAAAGCTGCTGCCCTGACAGCAGTTACATACCCAACAATGTGTCCTTAGGGTTCCCTCTAAACTTGCTTTTTTTGTTCTGGTCTAGAGCTGACCCTGTTCAAACTCTCCTGGACACTCTGCCCAGTGCAGAGTTCATCTCTGAACACCAGTCCTCTTCCCTCCCTCTCTCTGAACAGGACTGTCATACACAGGTGTCTGGTCACCTCATTTCAGCCCCCCCTCCCCACTTAATACCCCAATACTCCTGGCCTAGATCTCTAAATCCTGCAACAAGACTTTTGTTACCGAGATTAATGGCAGCTGAATTAGACCCTAAATCCTCAGCACAGAATAGTTGTTAATATTCTGTCCTCCTGGGGGCTTAAAGTTGATTCAGCTTCTCTACAGTGCCAAATGCAGGAGAAAATAATAAATAAAGGTCTGCTTTTATGTGCTGTCACTGGTTAGTCATGTGTCTAAAGCCTTCCATAAAACAAAAATGCTGAAATTCTTGGATGAGGTGGAAGGTCAGGAACACTGCCCAAATTTGTAGGGAGCTTAGACACAGGAGTTTGGCTTGACTCACTGTAAAGACAGGACCCCAGAGTGAATCTGGGTTAGAAAGTGAAAAACCAGAGTTGACAATTCTTCAGAGACAGGGCTTTAGAGCAGATTGGTTTGTAGCACCACTGTTATTACTGGGAATGGGAAGCTGAATCACTGCTTATATAAACAGCTCCTTTGACATCAGACCTGCTCTGATTAACTGCCCTGGACCATCTGCCTGCTGGACACTCTGCAGCAGGTGAAAGATGCTGCTCATCAGTTTTTCAGCTCCCCTCACCACACCAACTTCACCTAAATCACTACAGGAAAAAGAACAATTTGATGGCATTCTCCCTTTTTAGAAGAAATGAGAGAAATCAGAGAAAGGAGATCCTCAGTGCTGTCAAGAATCACAGCATGAACCTACAGATAAAAAGGAGAGCAGAAGGCTCACGCTGCTATTTTAAGACCAATAGGGAATTGTCTGTCTTCCCTGGATTCTCCCAACTCATACAGAGGAAAGTACAATCATTAATATTAAAGAGACCTGCCTGGAACTTAATTCTTAAGTTTCTATTTTCATTCACTGTACAAATTGCTCCAACCCCTTCTTTTATCACTCTGCTCA